CGTCATAGGCAGCTAGTTCTGAAAATCCTGAGAACAAGCCAAGTTCATTCTTGACTTTTTATTCTACTCTCATACCTTTGACCACTCTTCTATTTGCTGTTCAGCTTCCTAGAGGACTTCTCTTTTCCATTCCTTTTGTTGTTATTTTTTAAAATACCTTACATTAATTTAGAAGAGTTTTGAGGAGAGAACAAAAGAAGATACACAGATTCCCCTGTCCTTGTCCCTCTGTTTGATTTTTGATTGAGGACAGCAGTTTCAGATTTAGTTTTTGCAACAGAACAGAGTCTTGGCTTTGAAATATTCTGTGGGAGCTTAGTGTATAAAGTAGTTATAAACAGAACAGCCTTATTTGATGAAGGCTTGTTTTTTCTTTCTGTTCTCTTCTTACCCTTGGCTTCCCTTCCCCTGGGAAGGGACGTGGAAGTTGTTGAACATAATTTATCTCTCTGACAGACTTAATCTCTCTGCTTTTAGACCCAGAATGAAGTTTATGACACGAAATAAGAATTGACTTATTCCTTGAGAGATCAATGTTATTGCTCTAATTGCTCAAATAGTAAAATAAATAGAGGAAGAACTATTCTAAAGGTTCAAACAGAAATAGGCTCAGAATCTACTTTAAAAATTATTATAATATTAAAATTCCATTTTTATTGAAAAGGTAAATGTGTAAATTTATATGAATGTTAAACAGCATTAATTGTTCTTACACATTTTTTGTTTATTCTCTTTTTTCTTTTTTAGAAAAAAATTACTTGGAGATTTTAAATCCTTTGTATTTTCTGTTTTACTGAGACAGTGTCTTGTGGCATTTTTGTCTAGGTCAGCCTCAAACTAGTGATCCTTCTGCTTCAGCCTCCTGAGTGTTGGATTGCAGGCCTGTAACACCTAACCTAACAGCTACGTAGTTTGTAATTGAGGATGTTGGAAATTCCCAAATTTACCTTCAGGAAGCTAAATTTCTACTCTACTGGATTGCTATTAGAACCAATATTTTATCCTAAGTTATTTACTTAAACATAAGAGTGAGAGCAAGTCTGTAGAGGCAGAACAAACTTAGAGCTTGTTCTGCAGGGAAACCACAGCATGTGTGCATCATATTGATTATGCACAGTGTAACCACTAAACACATTGTTGCTTCTTCCTTCCTCCATCTTTTCCGGACACTGGCCATTTGTTATCCCAAGAAACACATGAGAATGTGGAAGCTTGTATGTACTGCAGGTCCCTCAAAAGGACCAGTGGAGAAGGAGCACCAAAATCTACAGACTTGTCACAAGAAACCTTGTCAAAGAAATAGACTTATTTTCACATGTCTCTAAGATGACCTGATGTGTTTTTGAATAAAACTAAAACAAAAGCAACACAGAAAAATGAATGAACAGAAACCAACAAGCAAAACCCCTTTACTCATACAGAAAATCCAAAGGATAGAAATGTACGTGGCTCTGGGCAGAACTGGCCATCAGGAATCTGATCTCTTGCTGATACCTGTTTGACTATCTCACCAAGGACTCTAAGGTTGTCCTAAAGAATAATGGTCAACTTTGCCACAGAAAAGACTCCATCAGGTTCATTGGTAGTCACAGATGATTTTAAGAAAGGGCAAGGCAACCTGTCATGAGAAACACCTACTACTCTGACTATTGCTTCATATTTCAAGGACTTGTGAAAACAGTCAAAATCATTGTTCTTCTTGTGGTCTCTTTGGAGGTAGACTATAAATGGGACAGGGGCCTCTGGGAAGCCTTGAGGAGGACCAGGTACCTGGGGGCAATTCCGCTTCCTTCTTACTCGAGACACGAGACAGCATTCATACCGCAGAAAGATGGAAAAGCCTTGGGGAAGAAGAGAGTGGCTCTGGACAGGTGTGTGTGGTGGTGACTGGATAAGTACCATGATGGCTCATGTGAGCGCTCAAAACAGCTTGCTTACAGGTGGCTGTCATAGGGTGTGTGTACCATGGCCTCAACACGCTCCCTGATGGCATTATGAAATTGCCTCTTGCCCTGGGATGCTGAGGAGAGCCAAAATGCGTAGCCATCAGAAGGTTCTCATGGCTGCTCTCTTCAAAAGAGAAGCCAGAGGGAACCACAAAGAACTGAGTCAAGATAATGCAAGGTGGAGGCTACAATGCTGGATAAGAAATGTACTCGTTACCTTGCCCATGTAACTGTAACCCCTCTGTACGGTATGTTCACAATAAAAAAAAGATAAGATGATGTGAGGCAAAATGAACCCCAAGACAAGGACACAAGTGTTTTTTTCTTTCTTGCTATTGTTTCTAATGTATTTATAAGGTGATTTTTTTTTTGTTGCTTTGTATGTCCCTCCCCCATGATATAACCCCTGCTTTCATTGTATTTGATGTTGGTATAATTTGGGGAGGGGAAGGGAAAAAACAAATTGTTTAACTAGGGATACAGGTGGAGCCATTGCAACAATGAGATGTATAAGATGTTATGTCGAAATACAAACTTTACAACTTTGGCGGGTGGGGGGAAGTGTAGTTGTGGAGATGGGAGGGCAAGGATGGTAGGGGAAAAACAAAGGAGGAGGCAACAATGCTTGGTAAGAAATGTACTCATTACCTTGCTCATGTGATTGTAACCCCTCTGTACAGTATTTTCACAATAAAAAACTTATTTGAAAAAAAAAGATGGAACTTGGTGGCAAGTCAAGTGGCTTTGATTGAATGATCTGCCCTTCTCTCATCTTTTCAAAGTTTACTAAAAAACAAACAAACAAACAAACAAAAACACCCCAACCCCCCAAAAAAACAACCCCAGGAAACAAAAACCAAAGCTCTTCAATCAAATGCTGTATTTGTGATAGCTGTATCTCCTTTCCCTGAGGTCTCCACTCTGAGTGCTCATTTGCATTTCTCTTTGATCCTTTGCACATAAATCTTTCACCTGCTGCATCTCCATTGCTACCATAGAAAGCCAGGGGCAATCATCAGGAGTGTGCCAACCCTGCCCACCAGAGAGGGGGTTTCCTCCCCTGCTTCCCCACCACCCATACCTCTGTTTTTACCCCTACTCTTTCTTTCTACCTTTTCTCTCTTTTCCCTTTTGTTTGTCCTATTCGGTGTGCATGCAAATGCCTTCTTGTCTTTGCTAGCTTACCCCAGTAGGGCACAACTGTTTGGCTCACAGAGCCCGTGAGATGATCTGAAGCGGTATCACTTCGGGTGGCTTGTGGCGAAGGCGAAATGTAACCTGTGTCATATGACTCATCTGAGGAACAACAAGGTCTTCTGACAGACTGGTTGTTAGTATTTTAGTAAATGTATTGTGAGAAGACGCAGTTTATTCAAGGCCTCCTTCCTTGTGGGCTAGCTTTACCTTAAGTCTCTCTCTTTTTTTCTCTCTTTTTCTTCTTTCCCTTTCTCTTTTGCTTTCCCCTTTCTTTCTTTTTAAAAAATATTTATTTTAAATTAAATATTTAACATTTATTTTAAACTTTTTGGTATTGTAAAGATGATGTACAGAAGGGTTATATTTACATACAGCAGGTAAAGAGTCCCTTTCTTTTTGGACAATGTCACAAGTTGTATAGTTCATTTTCAACATAGTGTGTCTAGTGAGTACCACTGCTGTATTGGTTCACCCTTTGTCTGTTTGTTTCTGTGCTTCTCCTTTATTCCCCCTGCCCCCCATCAAAGACAGATAAAGGGACAAACAAGATAAAAAGTAAAAGGAAACAAAAACAGCAATGAAGAAAAACTCTTTTATTTCCATTTCCTGGAGTCACTTTCTTTGATTTTTGACAAAGGTTCGCTCATGTGTAGCCCATGTACAGCCCAATGTATGGGTGGCTTCAAACTTTCCATCCTTCTGCCTCCACCTCCCATGTGCTCACACTATAGGCAGGTGCCGCCGCATTCTGCCTGCGTTCCTCTTGACAGGCCACAGATTCTAATTTCCAACTCCTATTGTGATGGGCCATTTCCCTTGTCTATCTTTTCTTCCTCCTCACTGTGACCCATCCATTGTCTCCCATTACCCAGAGCTGGCTTAGATGCTGATGAATTTTGACTTATCAAATGTCCTGAAGCTAAGGTGGTAAGCGCTCTGACAGATTTGATGTTAATGCTTCAGGAAAAATTCACATGTATTTGGAAATTCCACAGACTCCACTATGGGGCCTAACTGACAGCGATGTTTTTAGGTAGCCTGAGAGGCCAGGAGTTCCAGCGGTCAGTGGCTGGGGCCATTTCTTGATAATTCCAAGCCATGGACCTGTAAATGACTGCCCCATCCACCTCAGTCACAAAGCGGGCCTGGAGGCAGCCTCTGGAAGCTATGGAGTAAAGCATTTACCAGGACATGAAGCGGATCTGAGAAAGTTTGTGTTTCAGGGAGTGAAATAAGGATCAGAGCATCTTTTGAGGAAAAGTTAAGAAGGACAGAACATAATTAACAAACAAGCTGGGTGCTGGTGGTTTAAGCCTGTAATCTTAGCTACTTAAAAGAAGGCTGAGAGCTGAGGATTGCAGTTAGAAACCAGCTGGGCTAGGAAACTCCATAAGACTCTTATCTCCAATTAAAAGCTGGAAGTGGAGCTGGGGCTCAAGTGATAGAGCAACAAAAGCTCATGGACAGCGTGCATGCCCAGAGTTCAAGCTCCGTACCAAAACCAAAGAAAGAGAAGAAACAAACAATGTGCAAGATGCTATTTTCAGATACCCTTGGAGCCTGTACCCTGTTAACATTTCTCTGCACCTGGCCATGATGAAAAATAGGCAAATGTGGGGTACACAAATAGAGACAGGTGTCATTGAGCTGAGGATGCTTTGCATGTCGAGAAAGATCTCAGTTATCCTCATTTCAAATCCCAGAGGCCTGGGGCTTTGCTGATGGCAAGGCTTTATGGTTATAGCCCGGACGGGGGATTTCAGAATCTCTGATCGATAGATACAGGGTGGTTTTCTGTGAATGTCTTTGCAGCGCTTTGTTGGAGAAGCCAGTTGGAGCAGATCCACCCTGGAGAATATGCCCTCCACAGTGATCTTCAAGGTCATCTTTTGTCTGGAGTCACTGGTTGCGATGCTGCAGAATGGCTTCTTGACCATCGTGCTGGTCAGGGAGTGGGTGAGCTCGACCCCGCTGGTAGCCGACAGGATTGTGGCCTGTCTTGCCTTGTCTCGCTTCTTTCTGCATGGAGCAGCCATGCTGAGCGACTTGTTGGCCTTCTCTGGTTTTTGTTACCAAGCAAACTTGGTTGGCGCCTTGTGGGACTTCATCAACACTTTCCTTTTATGGCTGACCGCCTGGCTTGCCCTCTTCTACTGTGTGAAGATCTCCTCCTTCTCCCACCCCATCTTTCTGCGGCTGAAGTGGAGGATTTCTCGACTAGTGCCCCGGCTAGTGTTGGGTTCTCTGATCCTCAGTAGTATCTCAGCCATCCAAACAGTCACTGGGAATGTAATGGCGGCTCAGTTATCCGGGGGAAACTGCACTACTTTTAAGTCACTGGACTTCTGGTATTATTATCTCACGCACGGAGTGTTTATGTGGCTCCTTCCTTTTCTGCTGTTCCTGCTGTCCACCCTTCTGCTCGTGTTCTCCCTGTACCGGCATGTGGGGCACATGAGGGGCCACAGGTTGGGGCGTGGCAATCCCAGCCTCCAGGTTCACAGGGCAGCTCTGAAGACACTGGCCTTCTTCCTTCTCTTCAATACATTGTATTTCCTGGCCTTGATCAGTTTTGCTATGGAGAACATATCCTCCCAGAGTCACTGGTACTGGGCCAAGGAAGTGATCATCTACTCCGGCATCTCCCTGCACTCCCTCATCCTGGTAGTAAGCAGCCCTAAGCTGAGAAAGGCCCTCAAACTGAAGTGTTAGGATGGTTGTAGTGGCAGCTCACAAGGCTCTGAGGGCCCCAGACAACACAACGGGTGGCCACCGTGTGAAGATATAATGATCGCCAGCACACTGATGGCTGATCTGATAGACAGCAAGAATGTTGGAGGTTTGGGTACTCTCTCCTTTCGTTTCCCTCTTTCTTTGCAATTCCTTCCATGCCCCACAAATTCTTTTTCCATCCCCTCCACTGCGACTAGTCTTTGATTGGAGCCCCAAATTGCCTTAGCCTTAGTTTATATAATCTCATTTCCTTAATAGTCAAGCTGTGCTAGGAACCCGAACAATATTCTTCAAGCACCAACTCGTCTGCACTCCTGAAGTTCTGTTACTATGGTCAGTCATCTCCGTGGGAAAACTGAAGTTGTGTTTGGTGAAATAAATCACTCAGCAGCAGCACCCACCTTGTGCACTGTCCTTGAGCTTTTGTGCTCAAGGCTAGTGCTCTACCACTTTGAGCCACAGTGCCATTTCCAGGGTTTTGGTAGTTAAATGGAGAAAGGAGTCTCATGGATTGTTCTGCTTGGGCTGGCTTTGAACCACAACGCTCAGGTCTCAGATTCCTGAGAAGCTAGGATGACGGGAGTGAGCCACCAGTACCCAGCTGACTGTTCTTCGTTTCGATAATCCACTATTCCTGGTATGCTGGGAGTAGGAAGAAAAGTGTGGCAATTTTAATTTGGTTTTATCCTCTCCTTCACATTCCTATTTTTTGTGTATATTTTATGATATAGACAATGTATTAGCAAAGTAATTCATTAGAAAAGTAGTTTTGTCTGTATTTTGTGATATATTTGTATACACACACAAACAATGTACTAGTGGAGTAGTATCATTATGAATAAATTTGCATATTGGTTTCTGAAACAGGGTAACATAGACTGTGTGAGTTGTTTATTTCATCTTCACAGTGGTAGGGCTTGGAACTCAAGGTACCAGCATGTTTAGGTTCTTCTGAGGCCCTTTTCTGAGTTTCAGGCAGACATCTTGCTGTGTTCTCATATGCCAGAGAGAGAAAGAGATATTTGTTTCTTCTAAGGGAACTAATCCCATCTTGCTAAGTCCCAAACACCATTATCTGGGATTAGTGCTTTAACCTGAAGTCCACTATAAGAAAGTATGGAGACCAGCACAGTAGAAGATACTGAGGAGAAGATTCAATGTGTTTAGGAGAGATTCATATGTTTAAGGTACTCAAAGTAAGAGTAAATAATAACAAGGTAGAACAGAGGTTACAGAATTTTAAATGAATAATTACATTTTTGGTAAATCATCCAATGATCCTCAGAAACTGAGTACTTACCATGTTATTATTAAGGTTGACCAGAGTCTGAGCTTTATCAAGAAGAGACAGAGGGAGGGAGAGAGAAAGGGAGAGAGAGAGGGAGGAAACTAACGTAAGATAACAGGCCAATAAGTTGTCTCCTAGCCAGATGATAATTAAGACTTTAAAAGAGAAGAGTCTTAAGAACACAGAGAAAGTGAGGCTGGGTAGAGAGACCTGCAGGAAACGTACTGTGGCCACTTGCTAAATTCATTTAATAGACACTTTGGGTCTAACTGTGATGTCACAGTTACACAGCTAATGTTACACATTAATCCTCATCATTGATCACGAAGTGTTTTTGCTCACCACTTCATAGTGACTGATAACTTTCTAATGGGGAGGACCGTGAGGAATGGAGGCTCAAGCCAGAGGTGTGTGGAGGCAGCAAAGGCAGAGCTTGCTGCGGTCTCTGTTCGCTCCAGCCTTGTGACTCAGTTGTGAGCGCGTGGAAGGCCTTTTCCATCACACAGCACTGCAGCAGTTACTAAAGGTCTTTAGACGGTCTGGTGATGACACGCTCACATTCTGCCACGTTCTCACAGCGGGCCTTGAGTCATGACATGTTTAGTGCGCTTTTCTCGGAAGTTCTCAGTGCCCTGGTGTTCTCAATTTCTTTTTACTACATTCTAATGCCTGAGTGTCCAAAACTTGATGGTTTTGTCTTGACTAACGATAAAACCTACCATCTCATCCATACCATTTGAGGCCTCTGGTGGTCTCTCCACTTACCTTTGAGCTGATCTACCACCATGTCCTCATGTGAATCCTTTATGGAACCCCAATGTACCTAATCATTCTTGACATAGTCACATTTCATTGTGTTTATTGGGGGTTTTGTCTTCTTTCAATATACAAGACAGCACTTATTTAGCATGATGATAATGATGATGATGATGATGCTGGTGAATTATTACAAGAATTCTTGGGATGAGAATAGTATTGACACATAATATATACATATATATAAAATATTTTAGAGGGCTGGGAAGGTGGCTCAGTGGTAGAGCGCTTGCCTTGCATGCCTGAGGCCCTGGGTTCGATTCCTCAGCACCACACAAGCAAAAAGAAAAAAGCCGGAAGTGGTGCTGTGGCTCAAGTGGTGGAGCGCTAGCCTTGAGCTGAAGAGCTGAGGGACAGCACCCAGGCCCAGAGTTCAGGCCCCACGACTGGACCCTATATATATATATATATATATATATATATATATATATATATATATATTTTAGATTCCTATCCAATCACTCCCATAATTACATTTATAAGACTATGAAAAATGCCAAGTTTTAAGACTCGGATTCTTCCTAGGAAGATAAATCTGAGAACTCAAGGTGCCATAGACAAAAAGCACACAATATTAAAAAAAAACACAAAACACATTATGTATTAAGACACAAATGATGAATCATCCTTTTGGATTAACTTAATCTGCACAAAAATCTGTGTCTGTAAATGCCTGTGGCTTATGATTAGTGCATGAAAGCACTTTGAGGGCAGATATTGTAACTCCTAGGTTATTACGGCATAGAACATGCCCAAAGATGGTCCTTCAATGAACTGAGGGTTAATTGTACATTTTTCTCACCTTACAAGTCCTTGAAAGTATTGGAACCAGATGGGAAGGTATGTGTTTTCCCTGTGATGATGTTTGTAGCTGGTCTAACTCTAGACCTCCATGTCTCTAGATTGCTTTACATCTGAAATGTCCAGGAGAAAACAGCCAAGAGTCCTTTGTAGGAGCCAGGGTAAGGAAGAGGAGAGATGGAAACTCTGTATCCTAGACATTTTCACAAAAGGGTAGATTTCAGGTGCATTGCTACCTTGTTCACCTTTTTTTTTTTTTGTCGGTCGTGGGGCTTGAACTCTGGGCCTGGGAGCTGTCCCTCAGCTCTTCAGCTCAAGGCGAGCGCTCTACCACTTGAGCTACAGCGCCACTTCCGGTTTTCTGGTGGTTTATTGGAGATAGGAGTCTCACGGTCTCTCCTGCCCGGGCTGGCTTTGAACCGCGATCCTCAGATCTCAGCCTCCTGAGTAGCTAGGATTACAGGCGTGAGCCACCAGCGCCCGGCTTCTTGTTCACCTTTTTTTCTAGTACTCAGACACAGTGTTCACTAAGAGGTGCTAAGTATTCTGCATTCTATTCTCTTTGAGGGGTTTGTATGCATGGAAGTGGTGGGATTATGGTGCTGGCTGGGAGGTGGGTGCCCCATTAGAAACTCTGTCATTCTCATGACAGAGCCTTCAGTCAATTTCTGCTTGCTCATTTCCTTGTGTCACACTGATCTGTGCACGCTCATTTGTGTGTCGATTGCTCACCTTTGTTCTTGGCCTCTCTTAAGCTCATCTGATGCTTACTGCACTGTCCTCTGGTTAGTATAGCTCTGTGATGATCTCCAGAAGACTCTGTGGATGACTTGCAGTGCTACAGAATAGATAGCAGATACTCACGGACATAAATCACCAATGCAATTGCAATTACTTCTGTATATGAAGGGATCTGTTCTGTTATCATTGTAGGATCACATTTATTTTTGTGATATGTTCTTAGTAGATGAAAGAAGCGAGGTTTAAAGGCATGAAATGACGACACTGTCAATCCATAGTTAGCAGCTGCAATGAGAACCAAACTCCAGTTTTCTGACTTCTGCTAAGGATGAAGAAGATGGGGATATAAGTTATATTGCTACCTGGGGGGAACCAGAGTGCTTCTCAGTCTTCTTCTATGATTTTAAGCAGGAGTGTTAATTATAGTTTGGGGTCTTTCATCTGTGAATCTATCTTTAATGTCTGTTTGTGATCTAAATATTGAGATTGTAAGTCAGTCCCATTAACATTTGCTTTTCAGATTTACCAGCTAAGATACGATAAAGCACAGAGGGCCTGTTACATGCAAGAGCTCACAGCGAGTGGGCTTTGGGCTGGATCCTGGCTTGATTCCAAGGCCAGGGCTCTTGCTTCTGTATCCCATTGATTTCCTTGGTGGGAGTTCCTCTGTGAGATGCCATTAAAAAAAAAGACTGTGATACTTTAAAAAGAATTTGCTTCTTTCCTTGTATGAGATTGTTTTCTGTGTTCTACTTTCTGATGCTGGGCCTAAAGTAGTAGTATCTCAAAAAAATAAAGAAAGAAAGGTTTGCTCTGGTTTCTCTCAGTCTCTGACAAGGGGGTATTTTTTTCCTAGTACCCACTTTATAGAGTCATTGTGAGAATGAACTACTAAGAAAGCACTTAGAATGATGCTTGGAACATATCAACCAGCCCTCCCCACATCCCTGGGACATGAGGTCTGAGTCTCAGCAGGAAGTGGGCTTCATCGCCCAGCTGCGCCAGGTGTGCGGGCAGTGTCTTAGGTGTCAGTTTAGACAAGCGAGCCTGCCTATGTACGGGACACCGAGTGCAATGTGGATACCTTATCCTCAGAAAGGTGGACAATGGGCAGGGAATAGGCAGAAGGGCAAGCAAATTCATGGACAGTCAGGGAGGGGGCTTTGGAAATTCAACCTTGACGGTATTTGCATCTATTCAGAAGAGATGGACTCTTTCTTGCTCCCTCACATCACCTGTGTCCTCGAGTCCGGTCTAACATCTACACTTGGAGCAGCAAGGGAGAGACCTACTCTAACCCGACAGAAACAGCCTTTGAAACCCTGGGATGTAGGAGAAATGAGTGGAGCTCACACAGCATCAGGATGTCAGGAAACTGACAAGAAGGTCATCGTCTTGGTTATTATTTTGCTGCTTTTGTGTCTGCTGGGAGCGATAGGCAATGGCTTTATCATTGCAGTCTTAGGCACGAAGTGGTGGCTTCGGAGAACCTTGTCACCTTTTTATAAATTACTCGCTAGCCTGGCACTCTCTCGCTTCTGTCTGCAGTGGGTGGTCATAGGTAAGAGTATTTATACTTTCCAGCATTTAACAGTCTTCTCTTATGACCCCATCACACAACTCACAAACTTCTTGTGGGATTTCCTGAATGCGGCCACCATATGGTTTTGCACCTGGCTTGGTTTATTCTACTGCATGAAAATTGCAAACTTAACCCACCCTGTCTTCCTCTGGCTAAAGTACAAAGTGCCTGCCTGGATACCATGGATGCAGGTTGGTGCTGTGGGGTTCTCTGGCTTGAACAGTATCCTATGCTTCATAGGCAACCAGATAATATACCAGGACTATGTAAGGAGTGACTGGCAATTTGGAAATGCCACTGAGTATATCCCACGAAACTCATTTGAGAAATTCTACTTCTTCTCTCTAAACCTGATTATGTGGACAATCCCTTCTGCTCTGTTTTTGCTATTCATGGTTTTGGTCCTCACATCTCTGGGAAGACACATGAAGAAGAGCCTGCTGAACACCCCAGGATTTCAAGATTCTCAGATTCAGGCCCCTACCAGATCTCTCCTCGCTCTCTTCTCTTTCGTAGTCCTTTTCACCTCTTGCTTTCTGTCCCTGGTGCTTAGTTCTGCCAATAGTTTTTCACCTCAGAAACTTTGGTACTGGGTGTGGCAGGCAGTGATTCATCTGTGCACAGGAATTCACACTACAATTCTGCTTTTCATCAACCCCAGCCTGAGAGAAATACTAGAGAGGGGTTGTTCTTTGAGGTGTGGCTCACCCTGAGTTATAGTTGATCCTCCAAGTCATGAGACAACAAGACCTGGGTGCAACAGAACAGAGCTTCTTTTCTTGCCACATTGAGTGATTTCTTCCTCTTTGCTAAATTTTGTGACAGAAGAATGACCTCAATATGATAGGATTCCAAGTGAGAGGCAAAGTCCCCAAATCCAGGATGGTATATCTTTGCTCTACAAGTCCTGATGGGACTTGATGTCAAAGATGACACAACTTTTACTTCCTCTGGGATGGAGCGCATGGTGTTTAAAATTATCCTTCTGGGAACCAGATGCAAGCATTCTGACATAGCATGTGTATATCATAATATTTTATATATTGACTTGGACTGGAGAAGATTTTTTTTTCTACTTTCCTGTTCCCTTTGGCTGCACCCTGTGAGCTGCCCATCCCCTGTCATCATTCTACAGTGTTTCAGTCATCTTCTGTGGTTGTCTATTTCCTACCGTGGTTATAATGAGTTCCTGGGGTCTGAAGTCTCTACAGAGAGCATCTTGGCATTGTGCATGTGTGCAATGGACTGGATTGTCTTGGATGTGTGTATCCTCAGAAAGCCTTGAGAGATCTCTCTGAGAACTTAGGAAGTTTAGAATTCATATATTATTGATATTTGCTCCATCAACCTGGTGTGTGGGTCTGTTCTATAAATGTTGAGGTATATGGATCCAGATAGAACTTCTTTCCTGTTGGTACTTAGACCAACCGAATTTTTTTTTATATGGACAAGTTAGTATATCTATGTCTAAGGAAGAATAATAAAGACCTAAGAATAAAAAGATTCCCAGTTTGGTGAAGAAAGCACAAAGATTGCTTTTCACAGCTCTTTTCAAATGATCTCTAAACAGTCACCTCACTCCATCCTCTCCTCCTTCAATTCCATTCCCTCCCTCCTTTCCTTCCCTCCCTCCTTTCCTTTCCTTTCCTTTTTTCTTTCCTTCCCTTTCCCTTCCCTTCCCTTCCCTTCCCTTCCCTCCCTCTTTTCCTCCCTCCCTCTTCTCTCTCTCTTTTCTTCCTTCCCTCCTTCCCTTTTTCTTTCTGTCTTTCAACAGTCTCATTTTGTCCCCCAGGCTGGCCTCCAACGCACAGTCCTCCTGCCTCAGTCTCCTGAGTGCTACATTTATAAGTGAACATCATCATATCTGGTTGAAAATAATGTCTTAAAATACTAGATTTAAAAATAATATTCTACCTGATCTTAGTAAACATTTTAATTAAAATGTTTAAAAGAATGTAAATATCATTAAAAGAATGTGAACCTAGAAATTTTACAACAGATTTCCTCTTCCTCTGCTTCCTTCCTCCCTTCATTGTTTAATTGCATCTATTTTTCTATAATGTATGTGGGTAAATTTGGCTTCAGTGTTAATTTTCACTATTTACCCTCTGCTGAGCCCTGATTACTAATCAGTACCCGCCTCTAATTTTCTCCTCTGCAACATCTCCATGATCAGTTCACTTCTTCCCATTCTTATGGTGGTTTTACCAGACTGGAAGACTTTTCTCTCTCACGTGCATTGTTACGGGTTTATTCTTCATTGCTTGCTCGGTGACAGCTTGTCTTCCATCCCAAACAAAATGACCAGAGAGACTTGGATGTATTCCCTGAAGGTGTGTGTGCAGGAAGCTTGGTTCCCAGGATAAGATGTTGAGAGGCGGTGGATCTTTGAAGAGTGGAGCCTAAGTGAAGATGAATAGAACCTGCAGACATCAATCAACCTTGGAAGGGATCAGGTTCGTTCTCAAAAGGGCACATAGTAATAAAGGGAGGCACGTCAAGGGGCATGGTTGGTTCACCACGTGACTGTTACCTTCCATGCTTCTCCACGATATTTCAATTTATCTAGACTCCCTCATCTGACAGCAATGCTGTGTTGCTTGAACTTTCCATCTATCAGATTCATGAGCCAAGTTAACCTTGTTTTCTGGCCTGTGGTAGGGGAAGCAGCAGCAGTCTCATAGTGCAACTTTGACAGGCTCTTGTGGGGGGAAAGCAGCAGGGCTGTGCTTGAGCTGGCTCAAGGCTGGCTCAGACCGACGGGTGAGAGAAGAGGAGCAGAGACTACCGAGGCCATCAGCCATGCTGTCGCCTGAAAAATTGGAAACAAAGCCAAAAAGGCATTGGAAAAGGATAGATATTTGGACAAAGATGCGCAAATGACAGGGAACAGGGATCAAAGGGAGAGGCTGAAGTAGTTAACAGAGAAAGGGGAGATTTTCCTGTTGGACATAGAGAATCCAGAGGCCAGGCCTCTGCTGCAGCACAGGAGAGAAGCTAGGTATGATTGTGATGATCATGCACTGTGTCTCATTACTTGTTCTTGTCTCCTTTCTGGCATGATCCAGAGTAAGGTTTTGTTTTGTTTTTCTTTTTGTTTTTATCAATTGTGGGGCTTGAACTCAGTGACTGAGTGCTATCCTTGAGTCTCTTTGCACTCAAGGCTAGCACTCTACCACTTGAGCCACAGCGCCACTTCTGGATTTTTCTGCATATGTGGTGCTGAGGAATTGAACTCAGGGCCTCATGCATACAACGCAAGCACTCTACCACTGAACCACTGTTTTTTATTATTATTATTTATTTATTTTTAAACAAGCGCAAATGATTTTTTAAAGGGTGAAATCATTCTCTAGTTGCTTAGTTTTTGGTTCAACCAGAAGTGACTGAGATGATAAATTTCAGGAGGCTGTGGATCTTTCGGGCATCAGCTTACCATTCCACAGGTAAAGGGCTAGTTTTATATCCTGTAGTTTTATATCCACAGCATACTAAATAAAAATTTGGAATCACAATTGTGTATATATTACTTTTTTAGTTTAGTTATAGTCCTATGTTATTTTTAGTAGAATTGATTCTTCAAGGCAAACTACTCATTCTGATCATTGCTCTGCCCAAATTCTTTGGACTTTGTAAGATGTTAGATCCTGATAGTTCTGTTTTCCCAATACTTATGCTGTGAAAGATTGGAAATTTGAGTCTGTAGTATATGTGACATAAAATTGTGAATTGGTGGGACTTAAGTAACAGCTCATCAACAGTTGAGGATCTTTGGTAAATGACATCTTCTGAGGGGAATTTTGCCTCCAAATTTGAAGCTGGAAATTCACTAGAAATCCTTTCAAAGAGAAATCACAAAGTACCTGGCTTTTTAGATGTTCAGTGCATGTGTTAGACTCAGGTGTCAACTAAAATGTCTCTGAACCTCAACACAATCAATAAAACATCAAGCATAAAAAATATCCGACCTCAGGTATTTTGTTCTGGTAATGCAAAATGGATTGAGACAGTTACCACTACCAGTTAAGGTACTGGAGGTGAAACATTATTTCCACTGCACCCTAATCACTTTGTGTGTATTAAATGAAACACAGGATCCTTTCAAGGATCTTTATAAAACCTTGTCACACCTCTATTCTAGAAGAATCCTATGTATTCATGGATTTGGGTTACTACTATGATTTGCACACCTGGAGCTTTCTTTCTGACATCATGAAATGTGTTCTTTTATTCTCAGATGTACCTGTTACAATTTGACTTTTTCTTGTATTTAAATGGTAAACATTAGTTCACAAGGTACCTCTTCAGTGAAGCTTTTTGAATACTCCATAAGTTTTGGTGGTCCTCTTCTTAGAGGACTTGGAAGTTGATATTCCTTTGTGTGACCTGTTATCTGCATACTGACTCCTGCCGAGGAGATGATAAACTTCTCAAAGGCATGGACTGACTCATGTTCTTCCATCCATCTTCTGCAGCAAATACATATATTGCTATATTAAGGAAAATGGCTCTGCTGAGCCTGAGAACCAGCTGTGAAGACGCATCTTTTTGCTGCACATTTATCTCTAGGTTACGTACTATAGTTTTAAGGCTATGCTCAAGCTGTAATCCCTTTGCTTGTAGGGATGGCTTACTTTTGGGAATTCAAACATCTATTCAATTTTCTGTTCGGTTCATGTACAATGGGGAAATAATAAATGTGGGTAGGAGAATGGGTGTTCAATATTGTGTCTTTGGCTTCTTTCTTTCTTATATATTTGCTCGTTGCTAAGCAACAGTAATGGAAGGCTATTCATAATAGGTCCTTCATATCAGAATCTGTGTGAGGTGCCAATTCTCCTCTTTGTTACTGACCCAATCTCTATTTCCAAAGTGCCCTACATATCCTATTCTTCATTCCTTTCAGGCTTTATATAATTAGTGAAAACAAAGAAACAAATGTACAACCCACCATCCTTAACCTCTCCACTGGTCCATTTTCCTCGGAGCTTGAACACATAAGAAATTAAAAAAGAGAAACAAGTCTGCTGTATTAAAAAACATATCTAGTAGCTCATTATGATTTTTAGCCAGAGTCCAATTTTTGCATATATGATATTGATGTTAATAATAGTAATTTGTGTGAGGCATGTGGGTAGAATATTAGCTTTTTTGGGGGGGTGGGCTGATCCTGGATCTTGAACTCAGGGCCTGGGCACTCCCTAAGCTTTTATACTCAAGACTAGCACTCTACCACTTGAGCCACAGCACCAATTCTGGCTTTTTTGGTAGTTAATTGGCGGTAACGGTCTCATAGACTTTCCTGCTTAGGCTGTGTTCAAACCTTGATCCTCAGATCTCAACTCCCTGAAGTGCATGCCACCGGTGCCTGGCTTTACTTACATGTTTTATGTAAGCTTAATTTGCTGCAAAGTTGAAATTGAGACTTAGATGGGTTTATCGAGGTCATGGCTAGTCAATGGAAGAACTGAAAACATTTACTATAGTAAAATTTTATATAGTGTGGGCTATAGCGCAAAGTAGAGAGCTTGCCTTGCATACATAAGGCTCTGTGTTCAATCTCCATTACTAACAAAACAAAACCACAAAAGTCAAAAGAAAGTAAAAATACTGTGGCATTGATGTAGAATATAATAATATGGAATAGCAATAATTGAATGCAATAAAGGAAATCAATAGGTAAGTAAATCAGCAGAGAATCCAGACAAAAGATACTTGAGAAATTATATATGATAAGTAAAACATCTTAAATCACTGGGAAAGAGATGGACTTAACAGTGCTTTAGCATGCTGGCACTCCAAACGGAAAAACAAAATGGAAGTTAAAGCCAATATTGTCTTGTAAGTTCCAAATAGATGATCTTTAATCTAAATGATATTTAATTTATTAAAGCCTTGTTTTTATTTTTAAAAACACATTTATTTTTATCCTTTATTTACTGTTTGGATGTCATTGTATATGTACATTCTCTTCAGTTCTCACAAACAGAGAAACTGTTTTCTTCTGCTTTCTTAAGTTTAAGAATAGTAATATATATCAATGAAAATATTGGTAAATTTAACCTCATAAAGAGGTTTCTTTTTCCTTTTAAATGAAAGGGCATTGTAAATATTAGGATCATAGAAATCCTCTTTTAATTTGAAAGGACAAATAGCAGTCTCTTGAAATATATGTAAGACTATCTTTAAAAGTTAACAGCTGATATTTCTAATAGACAAAGTATTTTATAAACCAATGAAAAACATAAGCAAAATCATAAATGGTGGTTAAGTGACAAAAATAGATAATTCACATGAAGAAAATATAGAAAGCAAACATGCAAAAAGAAACTGATCCTCACTTTAATGGGAGAAGTGGAAATTAAAACAGTAATAAGTTTTCTGCTGTACAAGAGCCACAAAATCAGTAGTTTTCCCCTTCTTTCTTTGGATATCACATAAGAACAAGAAAGTTGAAGG